ACTCTGTAATGTTTATTTATTTGTTGAGCAAACTCGTGGTGTATCCTACACAGGCTTATTTGCATATGCTCTTAAGCTACCAAGTCAATTCACCATTATCACTACAAAGTAGTTTAGTCCAGCAAAACAGGATGCTGAAGCAGTCCACCTATCTCTGAAAAAACAAAACCCTCTAAACTGGGAGCCATATATTTGCTCACACATGCTTGACATGGCTTTGTGTGAAAGAAATAATAATTGTCTAGTTATAAGACAGTCTGGCTTGTACAATGCTTTATCTTTCATGAAGCTGAAGCCATAATAAAAATGTCCTTGTACAGTAGCATTGATTTCTCAAGTAATTCAATAGCAAGCAGTTTTTCAAACGTCTGGAGTAAAAATGCATGAGGTGATATAAATGCATGAGGTGATATAAATGCATGGCTATATGGTAGGAATATTAAAAATAGAACACAAACACAGTAGACCAGAATCGGAGAGAAAGTACTGTGGCTAGAAGGGGACTAGGATTAAGAGCCTTTCTATTTATTCATGGGTCTTCAATCACCCAAGCTCTTCCTTTCCAAGTGGACTGTATCTTAGTTAATGCTTGCAGCCATTTGACTCTCTTTGCCACACCATATAGAGTACATAATTAGTACTATTGAGATATTTGGAAAAAGTACAGAGATCTGGAAATATATATAGATATGCAGTCACTTTCATTTTTAAGACTTACCGCAAGCTGGCCCGATAGCTTCCTCTGCTAAATGACTGGACTTTCTCAAGATTTGGCTCAAGCAAGTTATTTTCTGCTGCTGTAAAATATAGTATATAAAGCTCTTCAGTTTGTGCTAAAATGGAATACAAACCTAAGTAAGTCCCTTGTTGATTTGCAAAAAAAATAAAGTGTCTCCAAGTCATAGCTGGAATACTTTGTAGAAAGCAAGGGACATAATACAAACTTGTTACTCCACCCTATGTATACCACAGGTTTTATATGAGTTTGCATTTGACATGATGAAGTTAGGTAAATTTAATATTAACCTGAGTACCATCTTTTTTGGGGTGCGACTGCTGAAGGCTGTTTCCCTATTTTAGCAATTGGCCTCATCTTTTAAGATAAACATATCCAAGGCATGATGCTTCACAACAATACAAGTCACCCTATTAAGCTTCTATTTCCAGAAGCCTAGATTCAAATCTGCCTCTAGCAAAACAAATAAGGTGGTTTCAGCATACTCTGTAATTTGCCTGCAGTTCAAATGCAGCACAGCTGGATTGTCAGCATT